GAGTGGCCAGATTATTATGACCACCCCATCAGTACAATGAAGTGAATTAGTTATGCAAATAATAATAATAATAAAACCTTGAGAGTATTTGCTTAGAAAGTTTTCAATATTCAGTATTTTTGGAAGTGTCAATGAAGTACTGATGGGGTGGTCATAATAATCTGGCCGGTCATAATAATCTGGCCACTCAGTGTAGATTGCACACCTGAGGATTTGCCTTTCTTTCAATATTTGACATAGAGGAGGTATTCCCCAAAGTAATGGAACAGTATTCATTAAGGAGTGCTCAGTGGCAAGTTGGCAAAGGCTAGGAAGAGAAATAATAGTATTTCTAACAACCGAGTCTGTTGATGTTGAGAGGATGCCAAGAGAAAGGTTTCAAGCAGTAGGAGGAGTGAAAAAGCAAGATGCATAAGAAGGAGGTGAGTGTGAATTAGAGAAAGAGGGCTTGTATTCTACTACCGATTAAGTGCTTACTATTATGAGAGCTAAAAACTCTTCAAAATGAATAAATGGGTTAAATAGAATGGGGATTACCATTTAAATAGAACGTTCTAACTTTGCTTCAGATCTGGGGAATTCTACAAAACCACAAAGGAGAAAATTAGGTGAGCAAAATAGTTTAATTTGAATTTATTTCAGAAGAGAAGCTGAGGAAAATTTCTGCAGTTAAGTAATGACATTTTGAATTAGGAGACGTTTATATGAAAGCAATGTCCAAGGATAAAGTTAAATAGTAAGAAATTTCAAAAAGACCTAGGAAAAATCTGAGCTAGAGACCTGAGGCACTTTAGAAAGAGGAACAAAGAAAATGCAAGCTCTCTCTATATATAGGAAATAATTAGAAAAGTAGAATTTGACCTATATTAAAGGAAAATATTACACATGCCTATGAGTAAAGCATAGGAAGACACACACAAACACACACATTCCTTCCTACCTTAGAAACCCCCTAAAAATCTTAATCATAATGCTACTTTTGTTCCTTTTCTAGTCTAAATAAAACATGAATTGTTGCCTATTGCCTGTTATCAGTTTATCCACACTGTGGATTAAATAGAAAAATTAATATTAATTGAGGGTGCCATTTTTCTGCAACATTTATTTAAATAAGTCAGAGGCACAGCGATTATTAAAACAAGGCATAGTTCCAAATTATGTACCATGTCATATATGCTAATATGACAAGAAAAGCCAAAGTCTTAACTAGTGTCCCCATTGAAAGATGCCCTTATAAACCCCAAAATGTAATCCCCATTCCAGAAGTTAAATTATACAGCAAAATATTTTCTCAGAATATGAAAGCCTTGTATACTGTAAAAAGAATAAAAGTTCACAATGAAAAATCTTTCTAATTATAATTTCCAATTATAAAGTCTTCTCACAAAACTTCAATTTAGTTTTTATTTATTTACTGATCTGATTTAAGTGTTTTGTGCGTTTGCTTTCTTTTAACAAACTTGAGTGGTTAGGATTATCTTTTTAATTTAAATTTCATAAGAAAGAGAATCACAATGCACATTCCCTGACCAGATTGTATGCGTGGCCTATTTATTCGAAATGTTTGATTCCACATGGATTTCCTCTCTTTTATTTATAGCTTCCAGAAAGAATTCTAATAAATTAGCAACTCAAGGGCAACCAATTAGGGCTCCAGGCCCTGAGAGCACAGTACCTCCGGCCTGCCACCTGCAATGGCCTCTAGGACCAGGGAAGGCAGACAAAGCCTGAACTTCTGAGTGGAGCAGGAACCAAGTATGAGCCACAAGTGGGTGGTCCAGTGAGGTCAGGGTTAAAGTTCACAGAATAATTTGGAAATTATTCTCAGCTTGGATCTCCTTTATGAGGCCTGAGAATACACCCTTTAATTAGAATACAATTTCCAAAGCAGCCACTCCCTTGACTTTCCAGAGCTCAGTTATTCTCAGAAAAGTAAAAACAGCCTCATCAAACTGACAGCTAACAGTCCCCTATAAATTATGCCTTAAATGTCCAACAAAGCAGGCAGCAGGCATCCGGGACAAGGAGATGTTAGCTGTCAGCCCTCGCTAACCACGCTCAAGAATAGGTAGAGAAAGAGAAGTCATATTAAACAGAGCCACTCTCCTTCACTTCTTGCTTATGCAGCCGAGCTGTCCCATGGAAGCTTGGAAAAAAAGAGTGGGTTGTACATTTGAAAATGTTCCCACACCCCAGCTGGCCTCACTTTTCTGCTGATCCCTCCATCCAGTGAACCTCACACTACAGTGGGAACACTGAAATCAATTCCATGAGAGCAGCTGTCTGCCTCTTCCATGGTGCTCGGGGCTCCACACAGGACTCCTGGAACGGGAGCCAGTCTGATCCTGACTCACCACAGATGTTCCCCTCCTCCCCCACGTAGCTCTGAGCCAGAGCCTTCTTTCCAGGGCCTATTGTTATTACGAAAGATTCAGTGGGCCCACAGAATGTGCCAGATGTTGAAGCAAGAGGAAAACACACATCTCCCTAACTGCAGGGTTAAGAGTGACAAACATTAAATTACATGGAGATGGCCAAACACTCTATGGGAAAGGCTAAAGAAGGAAATTCGGGCAGCTTTGTAGCGCTTTATATTAAGGATTTGGAATAGGAGAAGCTATCACAATATCAAACTTTCAAATACTCTCATACTTGAGTCTGGGTTAAAGATGACATAAATGTTCCATTTCGGCAAATCCAGATATCCAGATATCAAATCCTTCCTGTAGACCGAATAAAATCGCCTTTGTCAGGAAAATAACAAAAAGGTAGTTTTTTAAATTTGTTAACAGAATTCCAGACCCAATAAAATCGCCTTTGTCAGGAAAAGTGTGACCAGGAAAACAACAAAAAGGTAGTTTTTTAAATTTGTTAACAGAATTCAGAATCCAATGTCACCCACAAATACATTTAGAAATTATTGCCAGTTTATGTTTCAGGAAGGAGCCGCATTACTGTCATTGGCCATTATCTTTTGAAGATCCATTCATCTGTCCGTTTTCCCAGCAGCACTCTCAGATGGGGCAATACATCTCAATATTTCTCTCTCTCTCTCTCTCTCTCTCTCTCTCTCTCTCATTCTCTCTCTCTCGACAACAGAGTACTTCATTTTAAATCCATTCCATTTATGGTATGAATTTCTGTGACTATAAGTTTTATCAAATAGCACAAAAAATTTTAACACATTAAATATGACTCTCCAAATCCTTATGCAATAGTGGTTGTATTTCGGTTTTTGTCTTAAGAGTTCTTATTCAGGTTTTCTTTATGTGGGTCTTGGGAAGGGAGAGTAGGGAATTAAATCAATTAAATGAAACACACACACTTAAAATTCTGTAACTATGAAATAAAATGAGAAAACAATCATGCTCCCCAAGGCGGAGATAAAATTGTTTCTGAGACCTCCTCTAGCCCTCACTAACTCTCTGGTTGTTAGGAAATCATAGATAAAATATGATCTTGTCAATATCTTAAAAAACTATGTTTCATAATAGCAGAGTCAACATTTAAATGGAAGACAATCAATATAAATGTTTTGGGAATAAATGTTCAGTTGAAATAATGTTTATTTGATTCTTTGGAAAAAGCTATATAAATTTTGCTGGTCACTAATTTTTTGCTGTTTTTGTTTTTCATCCTCACCAGGGGATATTTTTTCCATTGATTTTTGGAAAGAGTGGAAGGAGGGGGAGAGACAGAGAGAGAGAGAAACATCAATGTGAGAGAGAGACATATCAACTGGTTACCTCCTGCATGCGCCTCAATCTGCGGACCAACACTCTATCCATGAGCAAAACCGGCTAGGGCACTCCTCACTAATTTCTGAGCCTAATTTCCTTTCCATTCTATTCTCTAAGGCAAAAATTTGAAAAAAGATAATGTCTTAAAATCAAATTAAAACACATTCACTTTTAGAGTTTTTGTTTGAAATCTTTAAATTTCCTTCAATAGTGTTTTTATTGCTACTTTATGTTTTCTACTAAGTTGGTTTTTTCCTGTTTCTACTTTCTTCAGTTAAGGACAGATAATGGGCATTCTAGAGAGGAAAAGAAACATTCAAAGATTCAAAGTAAATCTAATATGTAACACAAGAAAGGGTCTATATAATGAGGTTGTCTGACCTGAAGAATTAAATTAAAAATAATGCTTGATTTCCAGAAAAGAATTATTTTCCTCTGTTCGTGCTGGGACTAGAATAAGACATGGCAACATGGTTACAATGAAGGAGAATTCCAAAATATATATATTCCTATGCTCTTCCAGGTGAGGCATAGCAGTGATCTTTATACTTATTCATTTACTACAGAGAACAATTCATTACATGATCAATTCATCTTGAACCTGCCTGAGGGAACTTAGTGACCAGAACTTAAGCCCCAGAGGAGAACCTGACAGGAAATCAGCATTCTGGATAGCACCCAAAAGATTCTGCTATTTCCAGACATTCCCAGAGTAAAATGAAAATATGCCATAGCTTTTGTATACATTTTACACGGCAATCTTAGGAAGAGGAAAACAATTTTTAAAAAAGAAAAAAGGAGAAGGAGAAAGAGTGATAAACATTTTAATTATTAAAAAAAAAAGTTTGGAATCATTTGACTTACAAGAACAGGGACTGAAATGGCATTACCAAAGTATTCATTATTGTCCTTCAGCTCTGACTTTATATTTTTAGTTTCACAGTCACTTAGAATTGTCTGACTTTCACTTAGTCACTGCTCAAATAGGAATTAAGTTTTATCTACATCTCTCTAAGAACTGAGTCCAAAATTTATTGCTCAATAAATTCTTCATTTCTAAAGAAAGGATGAAAACTGAGAGTATTATTTATATCTTAGTTATAGCCCTATTATTGTAAAATTCTAATGAAAACACTTTCAGATAAATTCTGAAAATTCTGATTTATAGATTTTCAACAAAATAATATGGAACAATTAACTCAGAGCATAGTATCACAGTCATATCCCCAAATTACTGCAATTTGCTCTAAAAGTACTTACTTCTGATGAGTTCATCCTCTGAACAATTTCCCCAAATGAACTGGTCTTGCATCTCTCCATGTGTGAAGCAGCTATTGGTGGCATGAGTTATATCTCTCTCAGTATTTTCTTTTTCACATTTATCTGAATAAAAAAATATACATATATTTATCATCATTAAATGTTGCATATCTTTCTCTACTTTTTTTATTTTATAGATTTTTTTAAATTCTTCTAAATCTGCCAAAATTTAAGAAAATGGGAGCAATAACTCTACTGACTGTTGCATACATATTGACTCAATAACATTTTTACTGAGCACCTATTACATGCCTAGCATTGAAGAAACAGAGATGTCTACAGGAAAAAATAATCTGTCAAGATTATTGTAAACAAATTGTCAGAACATGGTAAGTGATCAGCCATGACAGAGAAACGTGAAAAGGTTATATCAAGGATGAAAATGAGTAAGTCCACAGGGAGCAGTCAGGAAAGCACCAAAGGAAAGGAGAGTCCAATGAGAGATGAAAGTCAGATGGCAGCTGAAGGAGAAGTGAGGAGGTACAGAATTCTCTTCTTAGAAACCTGGGAAAGAGTCAAGGATTGTGCTATAAATTCTCAGAGAGGAAAGGTGTTTAGGATGAGAAATCTATATGTGGATTTATGGGTTCTCAGGGGGAAAGCCAATAAGTAAGGAAAAGGAACAGCTTATTGGAAACACAGCAATGGTCTTTAAAAGATTACTGGGAATTCTAAAAGTAAAGATGGGAGAAAAGCCATTCCAGGTGGAAAAAGAGTGTGGGCAAACTCCAATAGCAGACTTGGGCAAAGGTTCCAACTCTGGACTGAAGTACTCTAGAGGGGCATTAGGAGATAAGTTAGGAAAGGTCTGAATAGAGACATAGAATGGATCTTTTTAGGTGAGAATCTAGATCTAATTTAAAAGCAAAAAAGGTGAGTAAAAGTAACCACTGAAGCTTTATGAATCGCCTAATCAGTCATACTTTAGGAAGATTAGTAAATTCGTATACACTAGTGGTTCTCAATCCTGACTGCACTTTAACTCACTTGGGCCGCTTTTTAAAAAACAGATTTCTCGGCCCCATCACCAAAGATTCTATTTCAGTTTAGGGGAGGGGCGCTTAGGTTATCCCACTGCACTTACATCCTTGAAAATCACTGTAGCCTAGGAGTAATGGGGAGAACAGAGCAAGGAGGACAAAGGAGACGTGGCATAGTCCAAGTAGAAGGTGATGAGAGTTTAACCAAATGGATAACAAGATGGGAAAGGGGTAGATGTGAGACACTGACCAGAGGCTTGCGCAGATCACTGGGAAGATGGGATTGGTGTGGATTTGACAGAAAACCTGGAGACCAGGAAAATAATGTACGAATTTAAAACATTAGATACACAGAGTAGATGTTTAGGCAGTGTGCTCGGCAATGGAGATACAATGAATTAGGAGACGCAACCCCAGCCTTCATGCAGTCTAGTGGATGAGTGTAGTGCTGGATATTGGAATTTGCAAATCACAAATGAAGTTATATCTAGAAACAGTCACTTTCCTAAACTTGGTTGCTGAAGCCGACCAAAGGACTAGGCTCACCCAAAGAGTGGAATACATGGAAAGAAGTGCCTCAAGTGGGGTCTGCCCCATGAGAAAGGATCAAAGAAGGAAGAGAAGCAACATGATGTCAAGCCCTGGAAGCAAGGAAAGAGATTCAAACAGAAGTTGTTAGTCAACTGTATTAACATTCCCACTGAAAGGGGAAAAAAATTCTGCACATGTACCATGGGGATTTCACAACTATTAAAAAACTCTGATACAAAACACATTTCAGCACATGGAAACAGAGGAACACCGACTTAGGACCAAATCCAGAGGCTAAGAACCAAAAAACCAAAATCAGGTCTTGAATGCTTAGTATTTGTAGTAAGCAAAACCACATTCAGATGGCAGTAAAATATAAATTAGGAGCATGCTAAACCAATATGTTCTAGATTTATGTAACATTTACTCAGCATTATCACAGAGAAAATGTAATCTTCCCGAGATCTGTTATTTTCAATTAAAATCTTTACTTTTTTAAACAACTCCAGATATCTTTCCACGGCTGCAGTCAACTCAAGGCCTTTCTGAGATGAGCAACAGAAAAGGCTTTTATATAAACTCACTTGTACACGTGAAATCTCTCATCAGCAGAGGCCCGCATAATTTGCTATTACTGTTATGTAGCTGACGGCCGCCAGGTGTCGTGCTAGTAGGCTTATTCAATTAGTAACTTTAATTGAAGCTGAATGAAATTAATTATATAATTTTGAGTTGTTCAAATATAATTCCATTAAAATTAATTCATGAAACCAGGGCATTATGAAGCATTGCTGACTAAAAGGTATGAATAGGTATGAGTAAAGCCTCTAGACACACTTGACTTAAATTTGAATCGTGTCCAATATTCAAGTGCTAAACAGAGAACCTCTCAATTCTCCACTGAGTAAATGCAATTGTCACACAGATTTAGTACTGACCCTCTCCTAAGAGGAAAATAAAGTTCTTAATGCTCTAAATATTTATTAAGAAACAGTTGATCGCATGTGTTATGGTTTTGTTTTTGTTTTTTTTTCAGTTTCCTTATTTGTGAAACTCTAGAATTAGGTGATCCCAGAATCCTTCTCAAATTAAAAAAACAAAAAACTATCATTCTCATTCTCTAGCTTATTATGTTCATGAAATAATAAATGATATGTAATTACTACTAAATCACAATCATCAGTCTATCCAACTTTGCCTCCTTTAAAAACTAAATGTCTTGCCTCAAAATATCAGGCTTTTGCTATAATCCACAGCACCCAGCCCAAAGCAAGGCTCAGAAAGGATTCCGTGTATAAAATTTAAATTGGCATTGCCAATTCTCCACTCTATAAATGAAACTTCTCTGAGCACTTGACTAGCCTATGACTTTCTAATGTATGTACATTATTTTATGAACATCCCTTTAATATTTAAGAAATACCTATGTGGCAGCCTCATAAATGGTGCACAGTTACATCCAACATTGATTGAAGAAATGTAGGGAGAGAGAACGAGATCTAATAGATAAACACTTGTAAAATGGGCACCATGATGTCCAGCCACAGAAACAACCTTACTACAACCTCCAATAGGTCAGGTCAGCCACTACTCATCACAATGACAAAAGAGTAGTTTCTGAAAGCAAATCTCTGTGATCGCTGTATGTTTGCTGTGTCACATCTGTATTACAGAAGCAGAGGCCATGGTCATCAGGTTTAATCAGTTCCTTTCTGGATTTGTGGACGTTTATAGATGCAATTCAATTACCCCAGGGGCCTGAAAGACAAATCCTACAGGCAAGCAAGTGATTTCAATGATGCATGAAATCAGTCTGTACCTTTCTACAAGATTTCTATATATACCTCCAACAAGCATTCCTATACATCTTCGCAATTTTCTCTTAAAAGGAAGACTTCATCATCTCAATTAGGCTAATCTAAGTCAATGGTTCTTTTTGCCTTTTTTTTTCCCTTTCTTGTAGCACTCTTTAAACATAAAAAATGCACAGAGGTCTCAATTTGGGTGGTGTGGGGTACGGGGATGTCATTATCATATATGGCCAGATTATAGGTAGGTTATTGGTTCTAAGTAAGTTCTTCTGCACTAAACAATTAGAGAAAACTTAGACAAGCCTGTCAAATATTACTTGGATAGTAATATGTGTAAATTACAAGCAAATATACCTTGCTTCTTGTCACAGTATTCCAAGTAATCAATATATAATTTTATCTAGTCACTAATTAATAGAAATATAAATCAATTGTACTAGTAGATGAATACATAATATGTTTTAGATATATTAAAATGAAAAGCAAAGACACTTTTAAAGTAGCACTAGACCAAAATATACTTTTATATCACTGACATTTGTTTCTGAAAGGCTAGCTCCCAGGCATTCTAGTTAGCCTACTATAAACACAGAAGTGCAGAAGAATCTTTGGATAAAGAAAAAAGTGTTGTCCCTGCTACAAATCTTCTAGCTGGGAAAACCAAACATACCTATAAAACAATCAAGCAACTACAAAACAAAAGATAATGAAAACTGACCTGGGTCATAATTCTGGCTCAAAGACTGACCGGCTGTGTGACTGGGGCTGGGCCTCACTCCCTTAAAGGGGAAATGAGGGCATTGAGCTGGATGCTTACAGAGGCCTTTCTTGGCTCTAAAATTCTGTAAATCTGACTCGGCACAAGACCTAAACAATAGGGCCAAACTTCATATCTGCACTGAAGGGCGTTTAGAATGGAGTAGAGGGAATCACTGAAAAGCCTTTGTAAGGCATTGAATTTGAGTTAAAAGTGACAAGCATGAATTAAGCAAAAGAATCAAAGAAAAAGAGTTCTAAATGATGAATTTAAATTCAATATTTCCTATTCAGAAATGACTGTCTTACGGGATCAATACTCTTTATTTTTTGCTATTTTTCTTAAGAAGGGCATGAATGGTAAGAAGCAATCTCTTTCCAATCTTGCTTATTCTTGCAGAAGGAGCATGAGAAAGATTCAGGTAAGTAGAATTTCCATTTAGTTGAAAATTCTATATTATATTACCTGGTTGGCATTACCCAAACTTAAAACTTTGAAGATTTCACTTATCTCAGACAGTTGGGGAATAAAATAACTGAAAGGAGATTAACAAGAGAAAAATCTAACAGCATTAAAAATAAGTAACTTGGATAGTAATATGTGTAAAATACTATATGTGTCATATAATAGCCACTCAGCTGGTATGCAGTTGTTAAATAAATACAAATAAAAAATGCAATACCTCCTTTTGTTGAAAGAATACACTAATGATTTTTTGCAATTACAGTATTAGCAATTTTCAAAGGACTTTTACATATAATATTTATTTGATCTTCAGAACTATGAATGATATAAAGAAGAAAATGTTAGCTTAATTTTACTGGTGAGAATACAAAAGTGAGTCTCAGAGATAGATATTCAGTTGGAAGCAGGGTGTTAAAATCCAGAATTGGAAAGGACCTTTCAAGTTCAGCTAATTTAATACCCTACCTAGTACAGAAAGTCCCACTGCAATGCTCAGCCCGTCCCCCAAATTATAA